AACACATAATAATAATAATATAGTTGGTCACTGATATTGATCGATCGTTTCATTATCGGATAGGATGTTGAGTTGGATATCTTCTTGGAGTGCACATTAACTGGTTAAAATACTAGTAAATGATTATGTAATTTACTTTTGAGAAAATTAAACAGATTAACACTAATTCATTCATATATTACTAGACTAGCATCCATTCAAAAACACTTAATAAAAAACGTGTAAAGAGTCAATTAACCCATCAAACTTCATTTCTATAACACTAGTGTCATTTTATTACTTAAAAAAAACAAAAAATTATAGTAATTAACAATTATAAAGTTTACGCCGAGGGTTTTTCATTCATTCGTCGACCAGTTCTTGTCTTCTCCGGTGAGCATTCTTGTCTTCTTGAAGCCTCCGCCACCATCCTTCTCAATTCCGATGACCGTTGCCTCCACCGTCGTCCCTATTTCTCCATTCCTTCGATTCTTTGATTTGATTTTCAAAGCTAGTGAAAGTAAAACTATGCGCTTATTTTTGTTTCGAATCGCCAGTTTGATTTTAATTCTCTTATGTGAGCTACTGAGGATGATCTTTGCACCTATTGTTTATAGAAATGAATTTGGATTTGTTATTCGATTGGGAACTTATAAGTTTCTTTTGTATTATCAAGCTGTTACGTGTATATGACTTGGTGTTCAGTGCAGGTCACATATGACAATTCTGATTGACTGCAAAAAACGTGTGTCGATCGACACACCTCCATGGTGTTGATCGACGCACACACCAAAATTTCCAATTTTGGTTCGCGGGCGTTATATACGTCTACATGCATTTTTAATAGAAATATAGGTAACTACATGCAAATGTATCAACTATAATAATGTATAGTTAACTATAATGTGGAGATATAATTAAAAATATAGTTAGCTATATGAATATGTAATCAATACATGACTGTTTAGCTAAATATTTTTGAAAATTGGGTAAATTGCAAGTAAATATAATCCATTATATTAGTGTACTAGAGATTGTGCACGCGTTGTGTGGATTTAAAAATTAACATCATAAAATATTTAATAATTCTAACTTATTGATTATTTGTGTATTTTTTTTGTCAAATTATTTGTGTATTTAATATTACAAAAAATTTGTTGTTGTACTAAATAATTATCTAGGTTTGAAGATTAATCATTTGGAGTAAATTATTGGACATATACAATGTTATTTTTGAAAAGAAATAGTCTTATCATTAATTAAAATTACAGCGTATTTTTAATAAAAAGAATCGCTACATTAACCAAAAAAACTGGTATGAGAAAATTAATTAGTGATTTTTATCTTTCACATCGATTAATTGGTGAACTATTATGTTTTTTTTAAATCACAATTTGTGGTCGAATAAAGTTTTCTTTCGAGAGTCTTGGTTAGGAGATGATAAATCACTGATTAATTTTCTCACACCATTGTTTTTTGGTTAATGTAACGATTCTATTAAAGCCTTTTGGGACTTTATTTTTGTGACTTTTTGTTTTAAAATAATAGTTACATGTCTAAAGTTTTAAATATTTTTGTATAGTATATTGTTGAGTTTAATAAATAAATATATATATTTTTCAAACCG